GCGCTTCTTGTACGGTTCTTCGACGCGAATGCGACAGCCATATAAGTGTGCAATGAGAAATATTTCTTTGTTGTTTGGACTTGGTTCCAAGTCCAAGAAGAAGAGAGGCAATTTCTCCTTGTTGGCTGTAGTAATGTTTGTCACGTTTCGTACTTCGAAGCTGCGTTCTTCAATTTCTTCTTTTATCTCTTGAGGTGGGATGGTAGGGTGAAGGTTCCTTAGAACTACTCTATATGCTCTTTCTTCTTTCAGTTGATAAGTATGATTTTTTTCCTTGAGGGCGTGGGTTAGTTTTCTATAGTCTTCAGAGGTGTTGACCCTAACACTAGTTGTATCAGTCTTGGCCTGCCACTGAAAATCATTGCCTCCGAGCACCTCTTTGAGGCCCTTGTAGAATAGGCTGAAATTGATAATATTTTTGATAAAGATCGGAGGAGGCCTGTTCGACGCAATCAGATTTTAGGATAGCACCATTTTGCTCCGGAGAGAAGATGTGGCACTGGCTTTCCTTAATCATAATTTTCCATTGTTTATACCCATGTTGCGTTATTGTGTCATCGGCAAAGGATGAAAAGAGAGTGTATGTAGTTGGGGTTCCAAGCACACTGCCCTGAGGTAGTTGAAGAAACCTGATCCTTGTCGAATCCGAAAGATCTGGTAGATAAGAGCGGATGAGTAAGTAGAGGATATTTGAAACGACAAGTTTTAATATGAACAGGAGACCCTTGAGCGAAGTCAATAAAGGAAAAAAATACGATTTTTTCCTAGTTTTAGTAGTTTTTGAGACAACCAGGGTAACAGTTGTAAGTTGACACCCATGACTAAGAAGATAAATAGCAAAATTATGAAACATAGAATAATAGATGATGAACGTAGTAGATACTGTTCCGAAAGGAACCTCTTAAAGACACAAAAATATGCATAGTTTTACACAAGCATGTAGATTATTCCATTCAGTTTTACCTGACTGAGATAAAAAGATTCCTTTTAATAAAATGAATTTAATCTTACCAGGATCTTCGTCACTACTGTCTTCAAAAAATGTAAGGGCCACTTTTTTAATGAAGAAGCAAAATTAAAATCAGCAAATTTATCTAATTGGGCAAAAAGAACACAAGAAGAAAATAATCAATGACGAGATCTTACAAAGATCCCATTCGCACCACCCACTATCGAGCTAGTAGTCCCTTTTGATAAGAAATGAACCGTCCAATCTTGTCCCGATAAACCCAATATGGAATGTTGATTAGTTTTGCACATGGATTCGTCATTCCTCTCTGCAAGGAGCAAACCGATATCAAGCCGGAGAAAAAAATTCACCTTCCTCCGGGCATAAACTAACACAAGAAGCTTCTTTCTGCATTTATGTCTGACTTAAATAATTTCAAAATAATGACTGAAGGAATGTTTTATTCACCCAAGAGTATATACATTAACATTACACTTCGCAAAACTTATTATTGACAATGACCTTTGCCGTCTGTCGAGGAGGAGTCATTTTTGTTATTTAATTATTCAGAAATCGTGAGATGCGGTCTGGTGTGATGTAGATTTCAGAAAAACATTTTCTTTATCGTGCCAACGTTTCGATCTTTATTGAGATCATCTTCAGAGCCTGGGATTTACAAACATTGTTTAAATTTAACAAAAACATGTAGGATGTGGAAAAAAGTGAATTTATACAATTCAAAAAAAAATAATTTTTTATATTCAATCAAAGTATTTTTACTCACTCAAAGTGTTTGTTTTCTGTATAATTGTGCCATTCTTGCGTGTCGTGTTGAGAGTGCCAGTGAGATATTGCTGTTTTATGTTTATATACGTTGGATTTTGAAGGGGTGGGGAAGGAAGTCGGTAGAGAAAGACATTTTTGTATAAGGAGTCCCGCTTCTTTGAGGTGAAAAGAGCCGACGATGGGAAAAAACGTTGATAATGGTTCGGCCAGATTATCCTTTCAGGATTATATAGACGGAGATAAATAGCAAAAGGAAAGCTGAATTGTTAAAAAATTATACTATGTAAAAATGTTTGATGTGTGGAATGTGATGAATGTTTTATATGTTATATTATATGTTTTGTGTGATGATATATGTATGTTATCGATATTGAATTTGATTTCTATCGCATTGTTGTGCGTATGACCGGCGTGGTACCCTTGGGGAAGCGAAGGATCGGACCACCTAGGCTAGGCCTATGGCGTAGGCGTAGGCTGAGCTCGACAGGAGGTTTTACCGTAGGCGGTGCTCATCTAGGGGGGTGGTTAACAATTCCACTAAAAACAAAACCGCGGCCGGGGGGTATCCGGTAGTTTCTACGCTATGGGAAGCCCCAATACTCTGGGAGATAGAGTCGCCTTCTATATCTAGGGAGAACGCGGGACAACAGGCTGATGTATTTCGGCCTGTTAGCCCTTTGCGTGCGCCATACGACCCGATGCACAATGCGGGCCCGACCATTCGTAGTGGAAAAGCGGAGAGCGAGGTTGTCTTGGCCCTTAGGGGCTGGGGGGCCTCTACACCAATGCTGCGGCGGTAGCACTATTCCGTCGTATGCGGAGGTGCGTCAGCTCTCATCTTAAGAATCAAAACGTCCGTTAAGGCCGAAAAGGCCAGGTGCGGACGCTAAAGATCCTCTTGTCTTGTTGACGATGAGTTCTCGGGAACGGAATACTCATACACCGTACAGCCTACCTATGACAGCTTCATATGCCACAATATGCCTTTATTTATGACCAGGTCGACCAAAAAAATTCATCAGTCTGTCAGGTGTGTTGTTCAGTACTTTTCTAATATATTTCAGATGTAGTCTCAGAATATAGCTGCAGCGCGGTGTGACCGGATGGCAGTTATATACGATAGTCTGGGGTGATAATTGGCAGGTAGAGACGTTTCTTAATAAGGTATTTCGGAACTTTTTCTGTCTCCTCAATGTATAAATAACCCCAAACCTGCGCGCAGTAACATACTATAGACCTCAGGGTGCTGTTGAACATCGCCAACTTTTTCTCTAGTAAGATCTTCCTGTTGTTTGTTGTTGAGCCAGAGACTATTAACGGCGTACTTAGCGCTGCTGGTTTTATCTCTGCAGTTATGTTTCATTTTCACGGACCTATTGAAGTTGATACCAAGATATTTGTAGTAATTTCGCTCACCATTTTTGAAGAACCATCTTTCATTTTTCTTCAATTTTCCGACTTACCGCCAACAGACAATAATTTGAAATTTTCGTAGATTCAAATTAAGTGAAATCGCAATACTCTTCTAAATCTCTTATCATGAGCTGCAGAGATACGGGTGTAGAAGGCTGTAACACTATGTCGACTGTATAGATTAGTGTCCTTATTTTTCGTCCATTAATTATTAATCCTTCACATAGTTCGTACTCCAAGTCGTTCTGGAAGATTAAGAATAATACAGGGCTGAGCAAGCAACCTTGCTTGACTACAATTTCGCAGGCAAAATCAGTCGACAGACTTTCTTTATCTAGATTCGAGGTTTCAAAATAATATAAACTATAAAAAATGGTATTTTGGTATGCCACGTTGTGGCGGATGAATGTTCAACAGTGTCCATCAGCCAGGGTACTTTCTGTGTTCGTGTCAGTGTTCATTTCGCGTCATATGCTGTCGTAGGTTTACTTGATATTTTTCTTTATCTAAACAAAAGAAACCAGACTGGGAAAAATAAAACTCCAATGTATCACTCGAATGTTTGAATACCTGACGACCCAACTCACAAGGAAGGACGGACCAAGGTGATCGAAAATGGCCAAATTTTGGCAAAAGTATGAAACAAATTGAATCCTATTAAATATCAAACCGTTACATAATACTGGATTAAAATAATAAAATTTAATCATGACTCTAGAACATTGTGGGCAAAATCTCAACTTTTTCAATTCAATTTTACCTCATCCACAATGTCGTCATTTCATATCTTCTTTGGCCATCCACTTTGCTGTTTTCGCAAACATCTTACCTAGGAAAACAAAAATCTTTTTCGTTTGGCCAAAAACCAAGGCAGAAATTTGGCCGACTATGTCATGAAACTGCAGAGATATTGCAATACACCTTATGTGATTGCAAAAACAGGGCAGCCACTTGCTTAGGATAAAAGAGAAGAGTCACTAAAAAATACTTTACTGTCTTAAGTAAAGCACTTCCTGTGGATATAGAGAAAGGTCAATTGAACAATCAATCTTTTACGTTGGAAATCAGGAAACTATCGTCACTAGTGAACCAAGGGAAAAAAGTGTGAAGCGTGTCCTTAAGTGGTTTGCTCGGTTCAGAATGGGAAATTTTGATTCCAAAGGGCCTTCGACGGTCTATGCTGACCAAATTCATGCTTCTGTCACAAATAACCAACACTCAACGAAACAAGACCGATAATGGAGGTCTGATAATGTTTCATCTAGTAAGTCTATTTTTCCTGTTATTATCAAATTAGAAATACACATCATCTCAAGACGGACCACGTAGAGATCAATGTTCAACAGAACTAGCAAACTTTTTATCTATTTTTATTCTTTATTTTTTAAAACGTTATATCTAATTTTCATGTCAATAAATCATTTAGAGAGTGTGAGTCTCTACCTGCAAGCAGGATTTATAACTGTATAAATATATTACAGTATATTAGTATTAGAAAAACCTCATCTTACAGTTAGGAGAAGCAGCCAATGAAAATGTTTCAATTTTTCACGGATGCATTCCTTTTGGACTTTCTACAATCTATGCTTAATTATTGTTTTATTTTGCATTTTTGATGTTTGATGATGTATAATAGTATTCAACGTGGATTAGTTAAGAAATATTCAAATCCGAAAACCAAATTAACTCCCAAAATATTTAAAAACGTTTTGGGTAATTACATTGTCTGTTGGTAATTAAATTGTTGTATGTTTTGTCGTTAACATTCTAATCCCAAGTTCAAAACGTGTTGTACGTGATGCACATGTAATATAAAAAACAAGGAAAAAATCTCAAATATTATAATAATTACCTTGGTGATGTCCGCCAGCGTCGTTCACTTGTTGGGGCTTGGACGACGCTTGTCTCTTACTGTGAGAGCAGCCCATTTTTTCTTACATCCTAAGAAAATAAAACAAACCATACAGTTTATTACCCTGTACAGTTCAAACATATGAATTATTGTTTATTGTACATTATCAGTTACTAACTGCGGTTTTACAAAGCAACATGTGGGATTTATGATGGGTGGAAAGTTATGTGGTTCGGCGGATGGTGTTGAAGGGAAGTCCAAAGATGCACGAATGAGGAAGGAACGACGGAAATCAGGATCATGGAAAGAGTTAGTTCGACTGGATTGTAAGATTATATTGGATATGAGAAGGAGCCAAGGAAATGTTGCTTGCGGTAGGACTTAACACCACTTTGTCAGAAGTGCACAGATCAGACACAGTACTTCCTTCCAAAATCAATCATTGGACGTTTAAGCTTATCTTCATCCCCTCCTGTGATTCTACCGTACCAAATACATCCGTAATGAAGTGAGTGAAAATGAGTGAGGAAACTAGGAGTCATCGAGTATTAAAGGGGAGAAGGTGGCATGACTGACTTGATGGAGGAGCAAGTGCAGAAATCGGGAAGATGGAGTGCCATCAAGCACAACGGTGGAACAGGAAGAGGTAAGGATTAAAAGAAAAAATTCGATCCAAACATCCTTGAACTTGAAACATAAATTTAACAGGACCTGATTGAATAAGTCCAGAATTCTTACAGTTGCATCTTGAAAGTCGGGAGATGGGAAGGCTAAGTAACTTTGGAGATCATCGGCAGGCAACTAGCGCAATATTTCATGGATTTAGGAAAATCTTGTAACAAGAAAAAAGGGAAGCGAAGGTGCTTAAACTTTACCGGACTCCAGATGTGATGGATTGGGATGGACTACTGAAGAAACTTAGAAGAATATTTCAACATTTCTTTCGTTCAAGATTTGATCCGTTTTGCTTGCTGAAGTCCTTCTTTAAGCTTCATCTCACTCTAAGCCTTTGATTCACGCCATCTACTACCGTATCTCCCATCATCTTATACGACGTTGGCCCAGAGATTTACTCGCCCCCTAATCTCTCTAAGCAGCGAGAGTGCCAGCATAAGCTGGTTTATCGAGGTATGTGTCCTCTTGGAGAGGATCTGAATTGTAGAAATATCATCTTTACGCGATTAAGAAGAGGCGATGCGAGGTCGACAAACGGACTTTTGGGCCAATGCCGACATATGTCCGGCATTTAGAGAAAAGTAACTCGATTTGACTCGCTTAATTGATGGCTGTCATTCCTTGGTTCCATGTAGAGAGGGTGAAGGAATGCCACCCGAATGTCCCAGCCCTCATGAATTCTAAAAATTGCAGTTTGTAAGTCAGGATGTGTGAAGGTAAATTTGAGAGTTATCTACAGGCGATGAGAGCAATATTTTATGGATTTAGGGAAGTAAGACAGCAATTATGTTAAAATACCTAAACCATGAAGGACTCCAGAGGTCATGTATTGGGTGTTATTTGGGACAGAAACTACTTGAAAACGGTTTAATGTTTAGAAAGAAAAAGGGTATCTGCTATATCAAAGGTTTTTGAAAAATCGAAAAGGACAAGAATGGTGATTTTACAATTGTCTGTATGTGGGTTTTTACACTAGCGGTTTGTCTGGAAAAGACAGGACGGAGGACCGATTGGAGGGAAGCACGTAGATTTGACTTCTCTAAGTAAGTAAATACTTGTAAACTGATTAATTTTTTCAAAAGGCAAGGTCAGAGAGGATGGTACATTGGAGGAAGTCGATTATACCTAAATGTTTCACAATAGTTTACTTCATATAGGAAATATGGAGTCCTGTGAGGAAACATCGGTTTTACAAATTATTGTATATACTTTAACAGATTTAAGATTTTCTCGGTTCTGTAAATACTGACCGTTATGGCAGTTACAGAAAAGTTGCCCCCAGAAATGAGCTTTAAACTCATGTACTTACTTTTTCAAAGGTAAATTGTAACTAATGTTAAATTAACGTTTAATTGTTAAAAATCTGATTTTTCTGTTCCAAAAAATATACAGTAAGATTTTGAAACTTCTATCAAAAAATCATGATCGTAATAACAAAAAAGACAATTTAGCACAACGTTGAACATAAGAAATCAAAAGGTTCTAAAAATTAAATTAAATGAACACCTACTTTAAGGATGCAAGGCAAAGAAAGGGAACATTGGTAACATTCAATTTATGTTAACTTTATATTGATGATAACTGATTTTTGAGAAATAAGGTACACTTGTTAATTGCTCATTTTTAAGGAGCAGCTTTTCTGTAAGGGTTAGTTCTGTCAGTGTTTATAAACCCAAGAAAATTTATCTTACACTTTAGAAACTTCGGAAACACCTAAAAGTTGGTATTGTAAGTAGTTTTGTACTTTGTTTCCTTAAAGATCCAATAAAAAAGTGAATCTAATATGGTTTTTAATGCTCTTTCTATTGACGTGATAAAATTTATAAGGGTTAATATTTTATGAAATTGGATGGGAACTAAACACTAAAACTAAACAGGGGCACACAACCATAATTAATAAAATCAGATACTCATTCTTAGAAATGACGACTGACTACGTGTCACGGAAACGCTCTTTACCACATCCCAAAAGTATCAACTGGCTTCAACGGAGAAGAAGAATTCACGAGGAAATCAGATATAATGATATTATGTATACAGATGGCTCCAAAACAAATGAAGGAACCGGATCAGACATTTTTTGTACAAGCCCTTGTGTTACATCACCTCGGTCTTTTAGCCTGAAATACACGCTACTGCTTTAGAAAATCTTAAAAAACGTAACATTGGCAAAAAAATTCCATATCGTCTTCCAATGCGAAGCAACCGGTCAATTGAGGCATAACCAGGGATACGTAGAAAACCCAGCGAAAGGAATTGTAGCAAGCACTGTCAATGGCCTTGTATTTCTCAGGAGAAGGATCGAGTAGATAGCACTGAACTAAGGAACCCGGAAAGTACAATAATCCAGAAGGCTGCAGTGATTGGGAACAAACTCTCCCCCCACTTCATGGTATCCACATTCATCCTTATCACATTCCCACCGGGTTTTTTAACAATATGTACACTGGCAAAACAATCCTCATAAGGTTAGAAAGCCGAGCAGTGTACAGCATTAGCCTGTAAAATGTTCACATCAAAATTAGTCAGTGAATGTATCCAAAATCTGTAAAACCTGGGGAAAGGCAGGTTACACTGAAAAAAAAGATAGGATAGCCAAGCAACTATTAAAGCATTAGTATGTAACAAAAAATCACAACAAAATTAGTCAGTTAATTCATCCAAAATCTCCAAAACCTAGGAAAGCACAACTTGATATTTTCTGTTCTAGGACCCAAGGGAATTTTGCATAACGAAAAAGCAGACAAACGCCACAGGAGGAATTCAAGACCATATATAAGCCCTGAACCTATTTTGGGATAACAAATACAAACACAAAATCCTCCATCACAGAATGGATCCAAGAAAAACAAAAGAACAAGCTGATAAGCTGTAGGGGTGCTAGCCAGAGTAAGCTTAGGCTAAAATAACCCTCACCAAGACAGGCAAACTCACTGCTGCAATTGAGGAGGGCCAGATTCAGGTCTATTAACCGGTCAATAGCATCAGAGAAAACACCTACACGACATGAGTATATTCAATTATGGCCCCATTTGTTGGTTATGCCATGAGGAGAAAGAAACAGCCACCCATATCATCTTCGAATCACAATTTCAAAGAAAACCAAGAGTAAAGATTTGTATCAACGATAGTCAGTACCTAGTACTACTTAGGAGAAGGATCGATCCATTAAACTAAGTAATCCATCGATTGCATTAAACTAAGTAACTAGAGAAGTATAATAAGCCAGAAGGCTGCAGAGCTTGAGGGACAAGAAATTCGCACTCCTAGTATCCATCATCATTAAGGATATTTGATGATATATGGGGGCTTTATAGAAAAAAGTTAAAGGGTAAAAAGGTTCAATAACACTAAAAGGTATCACGAATTCAATTTAGAATCAGACTTTAGATAATAGGAACTTTTTAGTACAATTTGACATGTTGACAACCTTTTGAAGTATTGATGTTTATTCACGAGACATCCTGTTTATGTTTGCTTTCTAACTAATTGTAAATAGCCAACTTGTCAGTGAAAATGTACAAATTTCAAGTCAAATTAGCAGTTCAATAATTTGTTTTGATAAGTGGAACATAAATAGCACTTACATTTTTTCCCCACTCGACAATGCTCCAACAATTTGATGATATTATACCTAAATCGGGGAAGGATCGAGACAGAGGACGGTCTTAATAATTAAAACACTTAGAAAATACAAGATGTACAATGTCGTCTTTTGTAAAATTAAACTGTTAAAATTCGTGCGAAAGAGAGAAGAAGATCGCCGCCGTTGATAAAAATATCTCCCCGGATCAGAGTTCAAAAACATACATTTTGTGTTGCCGAGATAAACATTATTAGCCTTTAACGGATAACAATGCGTGTAATCTCATTGCTAGGATTTTTTTAACAGCTGCATCCGTCGAAGAGGAATTTTTCCGCGCACCTATTGACCCCTGGGATGAATGAAAAAATGTTTAAATAACGCCATCCCAAGGCCTTTTAGACACAAATCTCAAATTTTATTAAAGCCATCTGGACGTTTTAGACTTAAGAAATATGGTTTAAAGGACTGTCAAAGATAAGGAAAGTCAAATGCACTTCACTGTTTCAATTTTAAAAAACCGTTACATCAAACGCTGTTTGCAGTTTTTTATTTTAAAAAATAGACCAGATAAGTAAATTAGTATTATCTATTATTGTCAAGTTTTGTTTCATGATAAGCATTTAAAGATCTTCAGGAAGCTTTTGAAACACGAAAATCCCTTCGTTTATCATTTCAAAATAATAACAAATAAGCCTTGAATATTTTTTCTTAATTTGTAGCCTATACATATTTATACATAGTATGAATGTGATCACGGTGCGTTCCTTTCACAGGTTACAGCACTATCACTAATGCGAGGGCTGCACTAGGAGAACACATGCCGTGGGAGGTCTCGAATTGTTGGGACGGGAATGTGTAGATAGTGCCCGGGCAGTAGAGTTAGGACGGATTGAGAGGTTGGTGTGAAACTTTTGGAATCGGGAACGGATCAGTTCATTGACAAACGGAATGTTGAGGTCGGTCGTTCGAGAGGTTAGTTACTTAGTAAGGAGCTTTGACGATTTGTCTAAGGACTTTTGAATTGAAGGATTGGACGTTCTGGATGTTGGATGGCTGGCTGAACCCCGTATGGCCAAAGTGGTCTGGCATAAGGTTAGTTTAGTTTCGACGGTCAAGATAGATTTCGTTCCTAGTTTTCGAGGTTGTCCAACTTTTCTGTTAACTTGTTGTTTCTTAAGTCTTGTATGGGGATTCTATTCGTCAGTCTGCTGTCTAGGTATACTCCTAAGTGTCTTGAGTGGAAGTCAGTAGTTCCTTGTTGTTTCTGTACAGTGGAGGGCAAAACCAATTTTCAATGTGAACGTACACTGAGTACATTTTTCTTCATTCAGTCTTGTCCTCCACTTTTTGCACCAATTTCGATACGCTCAAGGTGCCCTTGGATGTTGGAAGTAACTTGGATAGGATTCGAATTAGAGGACAAAATTGCGATACCGTGGTGATAATGGTATTGGGGTGTGCAGGTTATATCAGCAGTATAGGTTATGTAAAGAATGGGACCAAGAATGCTTCCTTATGGGACCGTGGCTTGTATCAATCTGTTTTCCAAGAACTCCTTGCCGCACCTCACTCTGAAGCAACGGTCCGTTAGGGAGGATTACGGGATAAGATAATAAAGAGTGTGTAGGAAGCGTTTAAGTTTATAAAGCATGTCCGGATGCTAGACCCTATCAAATGCCTTGTAAAATTAAGCACGTTTTGGGTAGATTCTATTCCAAGCGTGCGATTAGGTACGGAGATAGATAAAATAAACCATATATAAGAGCCAACTATAACTATATATAAAATCTATATATATATATATATATATATATATATAAACTTACTCTCTTATATATAATCTATATATAAGAGAGTAAGAAAAATAAGGGTAAATCAACAAAAACTCTATAAATGTTTTATTTTGTATCTCAGGTTCTAATTTATTGACAAAGCCCATGTTTGCCCCAACAAACTTATTTCTTCATTTTCTGGCGTCCTAAAATTTTAAACCTGAAAACGTCCAGGGACTCAGAAAAAATGTCAGTCATCAAAAACACAGTGTTGAGAAGGAATACAGTCGACATGAAAATACAGACGAGCCGTATAAGCGTCCGATGGCGGTCAACTTGAAAAGAGCTCAGTGAGCCTTAGTTACGTTGCGTTTAGTTTGATCATCGCTAATAATTCAGAGAATGATATGGCATTTTGCAAGATTTCCCATCAGCTGCTTAGGGTATATAGGACGTATCTGGAGTTGGACTGCAGCCCAACAAGAAGTCGTTTTCTCTCGTATATTTTGCCTTTATGACTTTATGTACCGATACTAATCTCCAAGTTTCCGCCCCGCCACTCGGATACCATACTAATGAACCATATTCCAGGTACGACCTTACAAGAAATTGTTAATTTTTATTATATTTGTGTTCTTGAAGTCAATCTGATAAACCCAACATTTTTTTAAAGCCTTCAAGCATGTTTGATTAATATGGAAATCGTATTTTAAATGGATTAATTAATATGGAATCAATCTTCACTATGATGGATCCATGCAGTTTATAATTGTCTGGGCATCCCTCAGACCGGTACCGAGAGAATGTAATGTGCCTACATTTCTGTATTGAAGTCTAGCAAGATCTAGATCTTGGAATCTAAAATATCTTGGACAATACAGGAGTCCTAATTGGGAGTGATTTCTTATAAATCTTCAGGCCATCTGTAAATCATGGTAACTGTATATGCCCCGACTTTATATCTTTCATAAAAATGAAAAGCATTCATGTTGATGGGTTAAAACATTTTGTAAAGTTTTCTGTGGATCGGTGGGGTATTTTCAAATTATCAATTTTTTGTGAAAATCACAAAAATTTGAATTCAAGGGTGATAAAAACAAACGAATATCAGCTTTGTTTTTGCTATAAAAAACATTTAGGCCTATTTAGCTACGTCTCGGTCATAATTTATGTATTTCAGCATACCCATGCTATCGCAAGCACCAAATACAATTCGATGTAGTGACCAAGCTACTCAGAAAATGGGATCAAAATATTGTTTTTAGCAGAAAACATTGATATTCGACTTTTTCACAACCCAAAACCACTGAATATAATTTTTTGAGGAAAATTGAAATAACATTTCACTAACTTTTAGTCATTCCCTTGCGATTATTTTTTTTCTTCAAAAATAACAGAAATGGTAATAACGGAAGGACAACTACAATGATCTAAAGGAAATTTTACAAGGCTTTAAAACCTTACAAACTACACGCAATGGGCTCCGCAAATAAATTAATAAATAACTAATTAAATAGATACAAAATAAAACGTTTGGGAAGGTTTTCTTGATTTCATTCTTATTTATCTCCCGCATTATGTCAATAAAACAACTTAATAGGCAGAAATAAAAAATATTCAGCTTTGCAACGATTGTAATAAAGTTAAATAGGGATAAAATCCAAATAAGTTATGAACTTTAAGTGTACCACCGGGCATCCGAAAAAGAAAAATTGCCCCGGTTAAACCGAACTAAAAATGTCTATTTTTTGTTCGCTATAAAAAATCGTATTTAAGTTAAATCTCAATTTTCATAGATTTTGATGATACGTAAAAACTAGATTTAGATAAGAAAATCGCTGCTTCTCTTGAAAAGTGGTATTTTTTCATCTTTGGGTACAATTTTTTTCATAAAAAATTTCCAAACGTCTTTATCATATTGAACGGTTTCGTTTTTGATTTTGTAGAGCAATAATAGACAGGGGGCGTCGGTGGCCGCGACGGTTTAGGCGTTGACACGGCGCCCATCACTTTAAAGTAAATGTTCCGAGTTCGAATCCAGCGGCGTGTTCGTACCCGACATACTTCAATTTTTTTTTTTTTTTTCAAAAACACCTACACTCCGAGAATTGATATAACCAAAAAAAAGCCAAAGGAAGAAATACAACTTTTCATGAGAAGAAGCATTTTTTTAAGGCTTACGAAGGCTCTTCTTCACTACAATTGTTTTTATATTGTAATGCAAAATAAAATATATTCGTTTTACTATTATAAAAAAGTTTAGAGGAAAGTGCACCTTAATGTTTAAAACAAAACGACAAAATTTTGTACCTTTTTTCATTTAAAAAAATTCTCAGTTCCTGGATGTTTTTGAAAAATATTTTACGCTACGATTGTTGCTCTACAAAATAATAAAAGAATCCTTGCAATATGATAAAGAGGGTTTGAATAAAAGTGAAAAAATGCAACTTTTCAAGAGTAACAGCGATTATCTGAACTGGGTGTTTCGTTTTAACAATTCCTCGCTCTGATAGATAGTTTGCCTATTATTGCTCAACAAATAAAATCAGAATTGTATCAGTTCGTACAAGAAAATTGAATAAAATTATTCCAAATTCTTAGTTATCTATCTTTATAATGACATTAAAACTATACGTTGTTGACACAATCATCATCTTTTCAACAATAGTAATAACTTTCTATTAAATATTCGTTTTATGTAAGGTATTCGTTGAGATGAAAAAGTTAGTGTCACGAGAGGGATTCGAACCCACCTTTGAGTAAGTTTTCATCTCAACCAAGACCTTACATGAAAAGATTATTAATTAATTGAAATAATTAATATGGTCAATTAGTCCACTAATCATAAATGGATTAAGATAGTAATAACCTGAATTTAGATTATATCAAAGTTAGGAATTTTTATGTACAAGATATCCGAGAAATAAAAATTGCCCCCGGGTAAATCTAGCCAAAAAAGTCTATCTAAGCTTAAATTTTTGTTAAATATATGGTTCTCGGCCTTTTTTTTGAGCATGTATTTCAAGGTTATTAAGTATCAATCGATTTCATTTTTTTCCTAGGATATGAACATGAATGAGATTAGAAATATAAAAAGATACAAAAACAAAAGACGCCAGTAAAAATCTCTTTAAAGCTCTTAAATACTAATTTTTATCACTCGGTAACAAATTATGCGTTTTAATATCTGCTGTACCTTTACTAAGGTTAGCTGCCAAATATAATTTGTACGTAGTGATCGACCGGCTATGAAAAGTAGGTTAAAAATTTTTTTTTCTAGAAACAAAGTTGAACCTTGTTTTTCCCACCCCAAAAAAACACTTGTATACGAATTTTTGGGCGGTGCTTCAGATTTTTTTTAAAGACATCACTAGAGGAAACTTTAGAGGGATTTAGAATTCCATAATCTACACATA